AGAGCAGTAGAGGAAAAATTGGGTAATGAAATGAGAATACGAGAAAATTATGAACAGAACTAACAACCAATAAATACAAAATTAAAATAATTATGTTATTTTGCCCAATTACAGGCCAGTAAAACTGTCACTCTAAGTGAGCTGGATGAATATTTAAAAAATATAAACTGCTCAGATTAACAGAAGAGGAAATAAAATACTTAAATAGCCCTATTTTTTAAAAAAGAAATTGAATAAGCCTTCAATGAGCTGCCCAAGAAAAAATCCCCAGGACCAGATGGATTTATGAGTGAATTCTACCAAATATTTAATGAACAATTACTCCCAATACTATATTAACTATTTGAGGGAAAAAAAAAAGGTAAATAAGGAATCCTACCAAATTCCTTTTGACACAAAGGCAGTTTTGATACCTAAACAAAGGAGAGCAAAAACAGAGAAAGAAAACTACACACCAATTTCCTCAATGATTATCAATGCAAAAACTTTTAAAAAAATTTCTCTCACCATCAAATTTTCTCTATCCCTCCCCCTTTCCCTGAAATGGCAATTTGGTATGAGTTATACATGTCCAACATGCAAGACATAATCATTATCAGTCAGGTTGTGAAAGAAGAAATAGAGTGTAAGAAAAAAATACAGTAAGTGAAAAGTAGTAAGCTTTGACTGCAGCATTTCTTAAAATAACAAGTAGTATCTATCTAAAACCAAGAGCAAGCATTGTGTGTAATGAGGATATAAACTTGAAGCCTTCCCAATAAAATTGGAATTGAAGCAAGGATGTACATTATCACCCCTATTATTCAATACTGTACTAGAATACTAGCTACAGCTATAAGGCAAAAAAAAAGAAATTGAAGGAATAAAAATAAGCAACAAGGAAACAAAAATGTCATTCTTTGCAGATGGTATGACGGTATACTTTGAGAACCCTAGAGAATTAACTGAAAGACTAGCTAAAACAGTTAACAACTTCAGCAAAAGTTGCAAGATATAAAATAAACCCACATAAATTATCAGTATTTTTATATACTACCAACAAAATCCGGCAGGAATAGACAGAAAGAAATTCCATTTAAAATAATGGCAGACAATATAAAATACTTGGGCGTCTACCTGCCAAGATAAACCCAGGGATTAATAGGAACACAATCACAAAACACTTTTCACAGAAATAAAAGATCTAAATAATTAGAGAAAATATTAACTGCTCATGGGTAGGCTGAGCCACATGTGTTAAAAAAGAAAAACCCTTATCTGTAAAATGAGGGGGAGAAGGAAATGGCCAACCACTCTAGTATCTTTGCCCAAGAAAACCCCAAATGAGAGCACAGACACAACTAAAATGACTGAACAAGGAAAAGACTGAGTCAATATAAAACAATTTTACCTAATTTATTTATTCACTGCCATACTAAACTATCAAAGAATCTGGTACTGGCTAAGACACAGAGTGGTGGATCAGTGGAATAGATTGGGCACATAACACACAGTACTAAATGATCATAGCAATCTGGGTGTTTGATAAACCTAGAAATCCAAATTTCTGGGGTAAGAATACAACATAAAAATTGCTGGGAAACTGGAAAGCAATTTAGCAGAAACTAGGTGTAGACCAGCATCTCATGCTATATAACAAGATCAGATCAAAATGAATAAAAGATTTTAGACATAAAGGGTAATATCATTAGTAAATTAGGAGAGCACGGAAAAATGTACCTGTGGATCTATGAATAAGGGAAGTTTATGACCAAATAAGATATGGGAAGTATAATAGATAATTTTGATCACATAAAATTTAAAATTTTTTGCACAAACAAAACTAAGGTGCCAAAAGTAGAAGAAAAACAAGAAACTAGGAACGAATTTTTACAGCAAGTTTCTCTGACAAAGGCCTTATTTTTCAAATAGGGAACTAAACCAAACTTGTAAAAATATGAACCATTCCCCAGTTGATAAATGATCAAAGGATATGAACAGGTAGTTTTCAGAAGAAATCAAAGCTATTAAGTCATATGAAAAAATGCTCTAAATCACAGATTAGAGAAATCCAAATTATAACATTTCTGAGATACTACTTCACATCTATCATATTGGCTAACATGACAGAAAAGGAAAATGACAAATACTGGAGGGGATGTAGAAAAACTGGGACACTAATGCACTGTTGGTGGAGTTGTGAACTAGTCCAACCATTCTAAAGAACAATTTGGAACCATGCTAAGAGATATAAAACTCTGCATATCCTTTGACCCAGCAATACCACCACTAGGTCTGTTTCCAAGAGACCAAAGAAAAGGGAAAAGGACATATTTGTACAAAAATATTTATAGCAGCTTTCTTTGTGGTGGCAAAGAATTAGAAATTGAGGGAATTGCCCATCAATTAGGTGATGGCTGAACAAGTTGTGGTTTATGATTGTGATGGAATACTGTATTGTGCTATAAAAAATGAAGAGTAGGATGCTTTCAGAAAAGCCTGGGAAGACTTACATGAACTCATGCAAAGTGAAGTGATTAGAACCAGAAAAACACTGTGCACAGTTAACAGCAATAGCATAACAATGATCAACTGTTAAAAACTTAGCCACTCTGATCAAGACAATCATCCAAGACAATCCTAAAGAACCCATGATAAAAAAGACTATCCACCTTGAGAGAGAACTGATGAACTCTGAATGCAGATTGAAGCATACCTTTATTTTTATTGTTTTCTTTTGCAAATATGGCTAATTTGGAAATATTTTGCATGATCTCACATGTATAATCAACATAAAATTGTTTGCCTTCTTAAAGGGGGGAGGGACAAAAGGGACAGAACTTGGATAATTTTACATGTAATTGGGAAATATTTAATTAAATAAATTAAAAATAATTTAAAAAAGAAAAAAATTAACAGCTTTGTAAAAGAGGCACAAAAAAAAAACACTGAAGAAAGTAATTCCTTAAAAATCAGAATTGTTCAAATGGTAAAAAAGGTAAAAGACCTCAGTGAAGAAAGTAACTCCTTAAAAATTAGAACTGACCAAGCGGAAGCTAATGACTCAGAGACATAAAGAAACAATAAAACAAAATCAAAGACACTGGGAATAGCTAATCTTTATGGACTGCAGATTGAAAAGTAAAGCACGCATATACCAAATGCAAAGGGATAAAGGCAAACACACTTACATGTATTAAGTGTAGCACATAAACAAATAATACCAATCTGCCAATTAGGGGTCTTCATTCTAAAGCAAAATTTTAACATTTACTCATAATAGCTATTTATGTAGTTATTTATGGTTTGCAAAATGCTGTATTTAAAATCATCAATTCAATAGTACTATATAACTTGAAAGAGATTGTAATCAGCTGCCTTATCATCACCATCATCCATTCATCACCCTTAAGGTTTCCCTGACTCAAACACCCTTTTCTAGCCACCATTTTTGATCTCCCCCCTTACAATGTGAATTCCTTGAGGAAAAGGCTTGCTTTGCTCAATTTTCACATATGTATCCCTAGAATAGTGATTGGCAAATAAAAAGAGATTTTTAAAAATCCTGTTTTCCCAGAAGACAGAACTTTTCATAGAGTCTCAATGAAGAACAGAGAATACATTTTAAATGAATGTTTTTATTCCACGTGATACTGCAAAAGCCCAAAACAGGAGAAATAAACTGTAAGGGAATCTAGTATAGCTCTGGAATCAGAGGTACTGGGTTCAAATTTCATCCATTGCTTACTAAAGGTGCCCTTGGGCAAGTCACTTGGTCTCTGTGGGTTTCAGCTTCCACATTTGTAAAATTAGAGAGGTAGACTAGATGAACTCTGAGGACCCTCACAGCTCTAAAGCTATGAATTTATACAATAATTAAGGTCTGTCTTAAGCCAAGAGCAGCAATTATCCAGGCAATGATGATGTTTAGTAACTGTAATTTAATGTCTCTGGCTCATCCTGTATTATTAGACCATGTTATTTAAAAGTAATAGTAATCTTTTCCCACACGTTCAACTAACTCAGATGACAAGTATGAATTATCAGATAGATTTTCATAGGCTACTTTGTTAAAAATATCTTCATATTATTTGATTCTCAGACCTGTGGAACACTATCTACAAACCCATGAAATAGATGAAACCATAGAGAGTAACAATTTCCACATACAGTCACTCTTCTCCTGCTTCTCACAGGAAGAGCTTGCTTTATTCTGTCAGGAAATGAAGTACTGGGACTTACTGACCCTCTATGCCACTATTTTTTGAGTTTCAAAAAAGAATAATAGTACTAGAATTTCAATTCAGATACACAACAAGGAAATGATCCAGCAGCATCAGGACTTAAGAGTACTATGTTCTGGAGTAAGATCTTGGAGGATTATACTTCTTTCCTCTCTATGCTTAGGAATAAGCACTTCATTATGTGCTGGAGAGAATCAGGTTCACCATGTCTGACTACCTAGATATTATCCTTCTAAAAGAATTCTCTAAAAAATGACACAAACTTTTAAAATAATCTAATTACAAAAGTTTTTTTTTTAAATGCAGTAAAGCGGTGAATTCTCTCAAGATAATAACAATATAATATCAGCATTTATGTAACACTTTAAAGATCAAAAAGTGTTTTACAAATATTTCATTTGATCCTCACAATAAGCATCAGAGGTAGGTGCTATTATTATCCCCACTTACCCAATCACACACAATCTGAGGCTGGATTTGAATTCAAGTCTTCCTGACTCCTGGTCCAGCATTTCTACTGTGATTCCTAGCTGCCTCAACAGATAACAAAATACTGGTAATGGTTTTTGAAAACTCATTTTATGAGGGGAAAAAAAATACATCAAATTAGCATCTTATACTTTTTATCACTCTAAATAAAGTGATCTTTAAGGAAAAGTGGAAAATATTTAACAGTTGTACATAAAAATTACAATTATACAATGTAACAATAAGGTCTACTAAATTTCCTATGAACGAAACATATCTAGAAAACAAAATTACAAACGACATGCTTGCTCTGGTTCAGGCACTTTCAAGATCATAGTTTATTTATTACTTCAGGTAAAAAGCTAGTATACAGATTAGGGATCCCTTAAATTTCAACTCTAGAATTATACACCATCTAGTATTTTTGCCCTCAATGTTAAACAAAATAATTCTAAACACCTGAAAGCCCCATATTAGTAGGTACTATGCTGATACAAAATCTGATGTTTTATTTTTCAATGTTTAGTATTTACATTATGAAACCAATGGTGGTATAATAAGCAGTGGTAAAGTAATAGTAACTAAACTTTATAAAGCCAAAGTTTGTAATTTTACAATAATGAGCAAATCATAATTATAATATATAAAAAATGAAAACATAGCAGAGCTTCCTGTTACAGAAACCTTAATCATCTGAGCTGTAGTCATTACTCGCTAACAATTTACATGCAACACCTGCTAGGATTGACATTTGCTTCCCACCTCCCCCACCCTGTCCCCCCAAAAAAGTGTTAAGTAGATAAATGACATTTAAGAGACAAACATTAACTTACTTGCAGACGAAAGTTGTTTTTTTTTTTTTAAACTGTACTCAAGATCAGTACTGGTCACAAGCCTACTTCCATACAGAAATTATATGAATGGGATGATAAATGTCCAAAATAATAGATGCATAGGCAGAGTACCATGAATGGCACAGCTCAGTAGATACTAGGATCAATTATAAACATACAAGTATCCATACACACACATTCTTTCTTCCCCTTAGTAAAGCGGTCAACGTTCTGACCAAATGGCAATGGTTGAAGCAAGGAGACGTACAGGTGTATAACTAATTAAATCTTGAAAAATACTTAGATGGAGAGGAATAGGATCAGGAGAAGGGACCTGTTAATATACAATTCAAACTATATACAGAATATACTGGAATGCATATTTCATCCCAAACCTGCTATGTGAAACAACTGGACCTTTAGACACAAACTTTCATTTTGATTTTTAAGTAGTAAACCATAGTATATGTATACAATAAGATTTACATTGGAAGTCAAGGGGGCATATTACATTAAGTATTTAATGGGTTGTTTTAATTTAAAAATAACTTTGCTAAGTACACATCTCAACTGAGGTCTATGTATAAAATGTCCTAATAGATACAGATATTTACCTTTGGTGAGTTAAAGGCCTTTTTTGTGACTTCTGTCTGAACTGTACTGCAGAATGCTAGAGACACATACACATATGGAACAACTCAAGATGAGGTAATCCAAAAGATGTGCATGTGGGAGTGGAGGTACTTTGAAAGCATAGAAGAAACAAACAAAAATTTACATTAAGAACTGCAAGCAACTTGAGTTCAATAGTAAATGGAATGCCAATATGGCAGTATTTTTTTTTAATAACAGAAATAGGAAGGTGTCTCGTACCAGCAGAATCTTGCATACACACAACATACAGGAAAAGCCACCTATTGTTTCCAGAAAACAAGATCCAATTCATATTATGAGAAAGTACGAATTACAGAAAACAAGAAGTCAATAGAAGAGAAACAACATGAAAGAAGAGTCCAACAACAGTTATTTTGTAAAGGCCGCAACTACAGCCCACAGGACCTCATTAGTGTTGGCCTTCATACATTCAACTTCTGGGTCTAAATCCAGAAGCTGTCGCACTCTTTTTGTGGCTAAATCATACTGCTCATCCAGAAGAGGGGCAAAAGCGTTCTCAAGGACATCAGAAGCATGAGCGAGGTAAATAAGAGCCAGCAAGCGCTTGTCCATTCGATGAGGGTCATTCACCCATTTGTCAAGAACAGCTTCCTGTACTTTCTTGATGAGGCGTTGCTTAATGTTGTTGTTGGTGAGTGGATGTGTTGTCATGTCAAAAAGGAGGAAGTTCTGTTTCTCTGTTGTCAGTACACCTTTTTCCACCAGGTTTTTAGCTAATCTTTCACGAACATTTCTTAACTGGTAGTGCAATTTTAACGGATTCCATGTCTCACCTAAACAAAAGATTCCAAAAGTTAGAAAATAATTAAAATTTCTGATGAAAGGTGTACTTAATAGTCTGATAATGAACAAGAAAAGTAATTTTGGCTAATTTATTTTTCTAGATTAATGGAATATACATGTCCTACTATTAAAGTACTCTTAGTATAGAAATGAACTAATTTTTTGGTATCTTTAAAAATATCAAAGATAGTGAGGTCCATCTGAAAGCTAAATGAGAAAATTTTATTCTCTTTAAAAAATTCATTTTGGGAACAAGAGCGATTAGAAAGTCTTCCACCTTAATAATCTATTCCCCAAATTTATTTTAGAGGTGATGAAAGTGAGAACCAGCTGTTCTTCTCAGTCACCGCCAGTCTCTGATCACACACGTGAAGTGAATTCTGGTCAGAGATAAATTTCTGACAATTTTGAACTTTGGCAGCTACATATATTTCCTTTTGGGAGGCAAACACAAAAAGCATTATCTGTCTGGAAGGATAGAAAATTACAATGCCTCATTTAAAATCAGATAAGCTAATTTTAATGGCCTTTCCTTTCCACAATAATTATACCACTTTGCAGATCATTCATGGCATGAAATTCAAAATCTGAACAGTGCACTAAGAGTGAGGAAACTTAAAGTGATAATATTTCTACTTGAGAACAAATATTTGTTTTTCTTACTTGAAGAGATCAAATGCCCCACTTGATGAGTGATAATTTTATATATTTTAAGGTTTATTTTTAGTGAAAATTTCAAATTTGTAATAATTCCTATTCAATTTCTCTATTAAAAGCAACTTAAATTTTTTTCAAGGCTATATTATATTGTTCTTAGAAGAAAACGTAATCAATAAAATAAGTGCAATTGTTTACTTCAGTACCTGTTAAAATTAATGCTACATTTTAGCATCAAGAAATTAGCAGTTATAGTACTTATCAATAGGCAAGTTTAGCAGTAATGAATACGCAAGCCCTATAAATCAGAAATTCATGGGTTCCATAAAGCCATAAGGAGAGGAATTGGAAATAAATACTCCAAAAGGGCCTAACTTTCAGAAATCAGATTTTCTGCCCACCCACTGAGAACCAAAATGAAAGATCTAAAATCTCCAATCTATTACACAAGAATAAACTGCTGCCCATCACTTGTCACCATTAACTATGTCAATATGGTGATAGATCTGTCTCTACTTAATTTAGTTGACATCTGAAGTCTTGTGGTCAGTTCTGAGTACCACAACTTAAATAAAATGATAGGCTGTAATGTGTCCAGAGGAAGATGACCACAGTATTGGAAGGACTGAGAAGATGTCATAGTCCCCTTTGCTAAAGATCCACCCGGTGTTTCAAAGCCCACTTGATGATTACAAAAAAGGTAGCTAAATGCTGAAAGGACCTAAAAAAAAACATCTAGGACACCTTGAGAGCAGACTGAAGGGAGGAAAGATATAAACTACCAAAGTAATGATATATCTTCATAGAAAGAATCGCTTTTTAAAAAATCCTAACTATTAAAACAATAGTTGGTATAATTTAATTCAACTCAACATTAAATACCTACTGGGTACTGGTGATATGAAGGGAAAATGACATAACATGTTCACAAATAACTATAATTAAAGTCAGAATATGGTAAATGCACAGGAAGGATAACTATCTAAGGACTAGGAGAGGACTGAAAAAGGAAAGCTTCATATAGTGGGCAACACCTGATCTGGGACCTGACGTAAGGGAAGGATATTTCAGAAGGCTGAGATGTTAAAACAACATTTACATAGTGTTTACCACTTATCAGGCACTGTGCTTAGTGCTTCACAAATATCACCTCTTTTGAATCTCACAACAACCCTGGGAGGTAGGTGCTATTTTGACCTCCCATTTTACTGATAAGGAAACCAAGGCAGAGGTTAAGTGACTTGCCCAGGGTCAAACACACAGATAGTAAGTGTCTGAGGCCACATTTGAACTCAGATCTTCCTGACTTCATCCACTGCGCCACCTAGCTGCAGAGACTGATTTAAGGTAGGGGTTAAAAAAGTCCTGTGCCTCCAAAGGCCTCATGATGGAAAATGCTATCCACATCCAAAGAAAGAACTATGGAGCTGGAATGCAGATCAAAGCACACTATTTGCTATTTTTTTTCTTTTGTTGTGTTTTGTTTCCTCTTTCTGGTGGTTCCTCCTATTGGTTCTAATTCTTACTTACAACATCACTAATGTGAAAATATGTTTAATAGCAATGCATATATATAGTTTATATCAGATTGCGGGGCCGTCTTGGAGAGGGAGGTGAGAAAGGAGGGGGAGAAAAATTTAAAACTCAAAAGCTTATGGAAGTGATTGTTGATAAATCAAAATAAATTAATTTTAAAAAGGTTAAAAAAAAAAACATAAAAAAGGCCAGTGCAACAGAGGGCAGGTCAAATAATAGAGTTCACCTGAAACATGGAGCATGTGAAGGGGCTTAGGATAAATGAAGACTGAAAAGACAGGCTGAAGAGATTTTGGCAGGCCTTAAAGATCAGAAAAACAGCTATTTTGGTTTTTGACAGGTCCTGGGAGGTAATTCCTCTCTAGGAGGAAATTCTCTCCATTAATGCAGATCAGCACCTACTATACAACTTACAATATTGTAATTGACTGGGTACTGCAAGGTTACATGAATTACCCAGGGCCATATAGCCAGGATCGTCTCTGGACCCCATATTAAGAACCTCTACTTTAGAAAGTAGAGAAAAATAAGAAAAGAAAACAAACCGCTAGAGCCAAACAGAAATTTTTTTGAAAATAAAAAAGCCCATAATAGATTTCATTCCTAAGAAAAATTATAAATTATTAGTGCTATCTGATATATTTCCTTTCTAGGAAGAAATAAAAGTATCTTTTTTTATCTAGGACATAGGATACCGTGTTGCCAAAGGAGAGAGAGGAAAAAAAACTGGCTTCCAGAAATGAAAAGATAATGCGCAGGCTGGCTGTTTCCCTAATTGGAGCTAGGATACCATTAGTTACATAAATTGAAGGTGATTGCAGGTCCAGTTTAGAAAATAAATTTCCACATCACTGAGATCTTGGCTGGCCAGTGGGGAAAGGGAGAAACAGGAGGGCCATCTCTATCTCAAATCTACTAGTATAACAACACTACAATCAAAGTCAGAAAAAAGATGCCTAAGCTCATGTGATCTTGGAGAAGAAAGGCCTCACAAGCCATCCAAGCCAATCGAGAGCTGACAAAGAGTCTCTCATCTGTAACATTACTGATAAACGGTCATCTAGCCTCTGCTTTAAATATCACCAGAGAAAAGACTCGTAGGAACTGATGCTGAGTGAAGCGCACAGAACCAAGAGAACATTTTACAAAGTAACAGTCACGTTGTGCAATGACTACCTTTGATAGACTTAGCCCTTCTCAGCAATGCAAGGATTTAAGACATCTCATGATGGAAAATGCTATCCACATCCAGAGAAAAAACTATGGAGTCTGAATACAGATCAAAGTATACTATTTGCTCTTTTTTTTCTTCTGTTTTGTTTTGTTTCTTCTTTCTGGTAGTTCCTCCTATTGGTTCTAATTCTTCTTCACAACATGACTAATATGAAAATATGTTTAATAGGAATGTATATGTAAAGCCTATATCAGATTGTATGCTGTCTTGGGGATGGAAATTTAGAACTCAAAAGTTTATGGAAGTGAATGCTGAAAACTAAAAATAAATTAAGAAAAAAAAAAATAAGTATCACCAGGGAGAGTAATACCACTAGGCAATCCATTCCACTTCTAAATAACCCTAGTGAATAGGAAGTGTTGCTTTATAATAAATCCAAACCTACAATATGCACCCATTGCCCCTACTTCTGTCTTCTAGAGCCAAGCTGAACAAACCTAATCCCCCTCCAATAAGACTTCTATTATGTCCCCTCCAGGAAAATAACTACATTAATTAAGGGTCCTAGCTCTGATACTCACTAATTGTATGACTGCTATTCTATTCAAGAGAGGTAATATGAAGGAGTCATATCTCGAAGGGTATAGGTCTACAGAAAGAAAGAGAATATAAATTTTCCTTAGGAAATTTAGGGACACCTAGGACAGAGCTAAGAAAATCCTACTCTGGTAGGGAAAATCCCACTGACCTAGAACAGTGTCGTGTGTGTGTGTGTGTGTGTGTGTGTGTGTGTGTGTGTGTGTGTGTCTCCACACACACATATATATATATTTGAATACATACATGAGGAATTTTAAATTCTACTCATATGCAAAATATATAAATGTTTATATATTGGTACAACTCACTATAAGAGATGAGATTTGGAGGAACTGTGAATCAAAATTTACACATGAAATTATATTTTAAACAGTAGAAATTGTTTTATAAATCATAATAAAACCTTTTTGTAAAGGAAATTTTTGCTCAAGTTATCTTTAGTAAATATGTGAAATTTCACATAATCATAATATATTGGGGTATAATTGTATGCCTTAAGCAAAATAGGAGTAGAAGATAGATTAAACCTGACTCCATAAAGGACTGGAAAAGTTCCATATGTCATTTAAAATTTCTGGCCAGTCTTTAAGAAGGCTTTCCTGAAACTATGTTAAACTGATAGTTTACTTCATGATCGTCATGGAAGAAAAATTTAAAATCCACTAACAGTGATGTCATAGAATTGGGTAAATGTGGTAGTCTGATGACACCTTCTGACCAAACCACTCAACTGCAAGACAAAAAAAAAAAAAGGAATGGTGTAGTTTTTCAAAAACAAGTCTTTTTTCCATTAACCTGCCTACAAAAACTTCTGCTGTATGTAAGCTACTTCTCTTTATTAAAATCCAATCTACACAAATTGATGACCCAAGTATTTAAGTATCTAGTATTAAATAAGGTGAATACAAAGGCAAAAAGGAGCTTTATCCAGGTAAACGATACATACACACATATGTAAAAAAGCAAATACAACTGTAATAAGGGAAGAGCACTAGCAGCTTGGGGTATCAGCAAAAGCTCCAA